AAGCAGCGCCAGCAGACTCAGCACCAAGGAAGTCAACAGCAGCAGCAGTAGCGTAGGAGGGAGCGAGGGGAGAGGGAGAACACCCCTCAAAGATGGGGGTGCGAGGAGCGCCACGAGCAGCACCGACAGCTACAATGCTCTTTTCGGCCGCTAGCAGCTGCTCCTCTAGGAGGGCGACTGTGAGCTCAGTGGGACAGCGAGCAAGGAAGTGGTCTCGAACTGAGCTGAGGGTGTCAGGGAGACGGGTGACTATGAAGTGGAGTGTCCAGTACAGTGGAGGGGGGTTCTTAGCGCAGAACTCGGTGGGAAGGGCGGCACGCAGGCGAGCATCACTAGTGCGAAGGTGGGTGATAAGATCGGCGACTGTAGTAAAGGTGGACAGCTCAGGGAACAGGTAAGGCAGCATAAGGCGGCTAAGCTCGGCTGTGGCAGGCGAAGAGTAGCGAGCAACGACAGCATCGTACAGGGCCTTAGCGGATTTGCAGTCGCCAAAATGCTCGAGCTCAGCTAGCGGCAGGTGACTGCGAATGGCTAGGCGAGCAGCTGCGTCACGAGTCTGCCAGTGGGAACGAACACTAAGCTCAGCTGTGGCAGGAGGGGCAGGTGCAGCACCAGACGCGTAATCATAGAGCGACACATGCTCCTTGCTATCGCTCAGAAGGAACAGCTGCAGGTCATCCAGCCAGGTGGCGAACTTCACAGGGCGGCCCTCAGCATCGAACGACAGCACGCGGATGGAAGCCATAGCGACAGTGCGACTGAGCAAAGGAAGCTGCCGCAGCGCTGCAGGTAGGTAGCTCGGCGGGAAGCGCGGCGGGCGGGCGACGCGGCGAGCGGGCAGTGCGGGGGGCGGGCTACGAAGCGGGCAGCGGGCGGGCGGGCGACGCTGCAAGCGGGCAGCGAGGCGAGCGGGCGACGCTGCGAGCGGGCAGCGCGGCGGGCGGGCGACGCTGTACCTGGGCGCGCGAGGGCGCTAACGAGGGCGCACGAGGGCGTTAACTAGGGCGCACGAGGGCGCTACGAGGCTAGGGCACGGGGTAGCGTGGTAACCGCATGCGAGCAGTGGTGGGCCCTTAAAAAAACGGTCGGTAGGTCCTAGGGACCTCCTGCTCTGAATACCATGTCAGAATCCCAGTCACTAACCACTGGGATAAAAGGGCTTGTTTGTGTAGCGGGTGAGTGCGCCCATAACCCCCCAGGCCAACGTGCCTGTAACCCTTCCCTAGGATCAATCGGGGATCACCAGTGGACCTCTGACACCCCCCCGCACTGGGATGCCCGAGGTGCACACACCGGGATTCGAACCCGAGACCTTCGCTCTGATACCATGTCAGAAGAACTAGGCAAGAATGATTGGATTGAAAGAAGCAAGGGTACAAATAGGAAACCCTAGTTGGGGTTGTACCCCATATTGGCTACCCCACTACAGCCTACCAACATATAACACATTACAATTTAACATACGCAACCTGGTATGCACCTGAATAGTGGTTCTAGGCTAAGTTGCATGCACCTGAAAATGGCCGGGCAAACCGCTAAACATGTTTGGGTGTTTGCGACTGATTGTACATTCCAATCAGTCGCGTTGTTACGGGCGTGAGCAGCGATTGGCCAGTGAAGTTTTTTGGGTGAATTGCAACGCGCCGCCCACCACTCGCACAAGCGCGCTGCGCTCCTGCGAGCTCATAGAACAATGAAAGTACCCAGCATGGCAGTTTCACGTTCCCACAGCACACAATATTCAGAGAAAGTACCCGCTACTTACAGTTCCAATTTCATAATAAGTCCCATTTCGGGAGACAGCAACTTTGACACACAGATTGTCACAAATGATTAGAAATATAGGCGAGATCTGATCAGAAGCAACAAAAAAACCAACTTTCAGTACATAATGTCTATAAAAAGAAGCTAAACTATATGATGGAACCAATCTTGTTTGACATTCACGTAACACATATTGTAAACATATATATAAGAGGAACGTGACTCAATAGTAGTAAGTCATTCGTTGACACGTTCTGCGCACTGACGTTTATTTACATAAGCACATCAGTTGCGAATGATCTAAAAACCAGGATGTAACATCAAAATACATACTAGAGCTTACTGGTATAAAGAAACAGGAGTTAAAATACAAATAGGGCACTATAATGCTAATAGTTTTATTACTGGCTATCCTTCAACAGCTTTGACTCGTTACGCGCACTGACGTTTATTTACATATGCAAATCAACTGCGAATAATATCAAAGCTGTGCATTACCACCTAGATACATACTAGAGGCCACATATCAGAAGAAATGGAAGTTAAAATTACAAAGAATGCAATATATTGCTGATAATTGCATGACTGGCTATCCTTTGGCAGATTTGCCCCGTTCTGCGCACTCACGTTTGTTTACAGATGCAAATCAGCTGCAAATTATATGAACATCGGATAGTATCACATAAATACATAGTAGAAACTACTTTTCAATAGAAACATGGGTTAAAAATATAAACATAGCACTATTTTGCTATTAGTCTTATGACTGGCTATCCTTTAACTTTTGTTACCTGTTCTGCACACTGACGTTGCTTTACGTATGCAAATAAGTTGCAAATAATCTAAAAACCTAGAAGTACCACCATGATACATACTAGAGGCTCTTGGTCAAAAGAAATGGGAGTTAATACAAGTAAGGCACAATATTGCTGATAGTTCCATGACTGGCTATCCTTCAACAGATTTGACTCTCTGTCTCTCTCTCTCTCTCTCTCTCTCTCTCTCTCTCTCTCTCTCTCTCTCTCTCTCTCTCTCTCTCTCTCTCTCTCTCTCTCTCTCTCTCTCTCTCTCTCTCTTGTCAAACATTATATATGTTGGGTTTGTTAGGCTACAGTGGGTTAGCCTATATGGGGTACACAATTCTAGGGTTTGCTATTTTGTACTGATTTCTCTGTTAGTTCATCATTCCAGTCTCGTAATCTTGACATGGTTTCAGAGCAGGTCCTTCCCTAGGACCGTTCTTAAGGGCCCACCTACCTACCTACCTACCTACCTACATACCTATCAAGCGCCCCTAGTGCGCCTCCTATTGCGCCCCTAGTGCGCCTCCTATTGCGCCCCTAGTGCGCCATCTTTTTTTTACCGCGCGCGATCTGCTAGCCGCCCGCGCGCGGCCTATTTCGTGCGCGCGACCAGCCAGCAGCCCGCGCGCGGCCATTTTTCACGCGCGCCTAGCTAGCCGCCAGCGCGCGCGGTTCTTTTTCTTCGCGCGCGGCCCGTCGCGCTGCCCGCGCGCCTTGTGTGCTGCGCTCGACCCCCCGCGCCTTCGTCGCCGCGGTCGGGCCTGCAGCAACAGCCGCGGCAGAGACTGCAGTCGCGGCCGTCGCAACTGCTGCAGCAGCCGCCGCCGCCTCTCCTGCCGCGGCCGCCGCTGCATCTACAGCAGCTGCAGCCGCCGCATCTACTGCAACAGCCGCCGCTGCAGCTACAGCAGCAGCAGCCGCCGCATCTTCTGCAGCAGCCGCCGCTGCATCTACAGCAGCAGCAGCCGCCGCATCTTCTGCAGCAGCCGCCGCTGCATCTACAGCAGCAGCAGCCGCCGCATCTTCTGCAGCAGCCGCCGCTGCATCTACAGCAGCAGCAGCTGCCGCATCATCTACAGCAGCGGCCGCCGCCGCATCTACGGCAGCAGCAGCCGCCGCAATCTACAGCAGCGGCCGCCGCAGCTACAGCAGCATCAGCCGCCGCTGCCTCTGCAGCAGCAGCCGCCGCCGACCCAGCAGCAGCAGCCGTAGCCGAACCTGCAGCAACTGCCGCCGCTGTCGCGACTGCCCCGGCCCTGCCTTGCCCTGCTGCTACTGTCCCTGCCACGTTTATTGCTCCTGTTCTAGCCTTCGACGCTGAGGGCCGCCCAGTGAAATTTGACACCTGGCTCGATGATCTGCACCTTTTCCTACAGCTCACTGCCAAGGAAGACATTTCACCCATCATTCATTCCCGTCGCACCCAACCCATCCTAACACCTCGCACGCCCACGGGCGGATTCATCGCGCCTGTTGGGCTGTTGCCTCTCAGTCGACGTGGGTGAGAGTGACGTGACGCCGGCATGGCCGCCAGTCGAAAATTCTCGACTACACGCGTTGGCATGCGATGCGTGGGGGACATGGTCGTTGGAAAGCACGAGAGGTGTGGAGTGGAGATATTCCTCGCGCAGCTCGCTTGGAGCATCATTGCCACGTGCTGTCACGTCACGCTACTGTCGCTGGTTACCCTTGACATGATCCGATGCTGGTTCGCATTTACGCTTTTGGTAACAAGATGTTACAGCCCCATTATGTTCTGTACTCGAGTTCCCGCTTCTCGCTCGATGTTGCTGAATGTCGAGTTCAGCTTCGAGCACCGTAAGCTGTAAAGGGTCGCTCTTTTGAACAGTCTCGTCGGCGAACCTTGTTCGTCCCGTCCGAACGAACCCAGACTTCCGTTTCTGCTACATTCGATACCCGACGTTGAATAGGACCTCAGCCCTTCAAAATTCCACTTTCACAGAAATCGCTACGCTACCATCCCTGGTAGTATTGCCAGAGCGAAGCATTCGCGCAGCGACTCGTTAGGTCCATGACTGAGAATTATTCGCTGCGAGTCGAACCCGCAATTTACAACCACCACCAGAGATCGGTTGACGAGATGGTGTTGCCATTCGCACCACCTCGATGTCGCCACTCGAAAGTGGCGACACGCGACGTTCCTATTAGGGTTTCGTGCTAGGATTCCACGGGAACGAGGCCTTTGTTCAGCTATGCACGAATTTCAACTGTTAAATACGAGCGTGATGGCGAGGCCCGCTCGCCCCTTCTCACGCGAATTTCATGTGCTACTACCGCAATTCCAGTGATAGATCCCGTCGGCGCATTCGCCATGCGCGGACACACAGCTGCGTCGTGGCAGCAGGTGGAATGAATGCGCGCGCACTCCAATCTGACGGCCTCAGCTAACGGCTTCTCAGCTGACACTCTCTAATGATAGCAGTGGGTGCCACTGGCAAACGCCGCGGTGAGAAACCGGGAAGGACGTGACGGCTTTTCAGCTGATGGCATCCCTAATGCTATAGCCGGTGGGTGCCAATGCCCATGTGAGAAGCCGAGCACGATGTTTGCTCCACCGTCGCCCGACTTTAGAAAATGATTTTGGAGGGATCTGGATGGTTCGCTCATGATCCTCTCCAACTTCTTCCCTCCCATCAATGTTGCAAAGCCTGCCTCCCTCCCTTCGCTCCTACGCCTATCCGTGCCCAGTATGTCGCCTCTGTTTTCCTACGAGGTTAACGGAGAGTGAGCACTGCCTTCTTGCATGCATCGCCATCATCAGCTCTCTGCCACTCCCCCCTCCCCTCCTTGCTCAGCCTCAGCGCTTTCCCTTCCACCCCCCGTCCTGCCCATTTACTCTTCCCTCGTGCTCCCTTTTCCTTCCCACAACAGCAGCACCGTGTCCTGTACAAACCGCAAGGGGCACATCTCATCAATGCGACATGCAGCCGGGTAGCATGGCAGAGCCACGGGCTGCAGCAACGGCAGTGGTGGCGGCGATGTTGGTCAGCAGGGTGTGGGTGGAGACGGACAGCAGGAAGGTTGGTAGGGTCAAGCAAGGCGACAGTGTTTCGCCTAATGCGCCATCTATGTCTAAGCTGCACAGTACGCCAGGCTGCACAGTACGCCAGGCTGCACAGTACGCCAGGCTGCACAGTACGCCAGGCTGCACAGTACGCCAGGGTATAGATCTGCTGACGAATTAGGGGGTGGATTGCCGCAGCCGACGCTCAACCGCCCCTGATGGACGTGAAGCTGGCGAGACGAACAACGAAGCTATCTCCAGGTCGACTCTCGTCGCCGCCATCACCAATGGTTGTAAACCTGGACACAGCGTCACTGCGTCGTTGCAGCAGGTGGTATGAATGAATGTGAATGTCTTCTCAGCTGACTGCAGACAGGGCGGCGATGTGCCAATGCGGAGGTGAGAGGAGCCAACTAACCAAGTTTGCATCCAATACGGAAGAATCTGAATTTTTCCCTTTGCGCCTTTGTCTATGTTTGCTGACGAAACGATGAATCTAAGCACAGCTTTTCTGTGCAATGCCAACAGCTATCAAAAAGAAACCCCTCTGCTCGCTTGGTACCATGAACTCACCTCCTTCGTTCTCTCCCCATCTCTCCCCTCTTCTGCCCACACCAACAGCACTTGCCTTCGTGATGAGCCCAACCAACCTATTGCTGCGATGGACGGCTGGGTGGCATGAGATGAGAGGCACGGGCTGCAGCAGCAGTGGTGGCAGCGAGGAAGGTGTAGAGGGAAGAGAAGGTCGAGGCAGCAGAATTTAACTGCACGCTGGACCTTTCAGGCTCCACGCTGGTCGAATGCTGGTCATTCGGGTCTTTTAGGCTCCATGCAAAGAGTGAAGAGGTGCGATCCAGCACATGGCATCATTGCATGCCATGACTGAGGGCGTGGGCAAGCATGACTGTGACTATGTGGTGCTTCACCTACACACACATTAACTCTCCCCCCTCCTCTGTCATCGTGATGGTCTGTGATCTGTCTGCCTGCCTCTGCCCCCTACTCCTCCCACCTTCACGCCCATCCACACGTCCAATCACCGCACCACCACCTCCCCTATCTCTTCGTTTCCCATCCCACATCATCCCGCATCCCGCTTTTCAGTCACCGAACCCCACCCCAATTAGACTCTTACTGCCTCCTGTCCTTCCTACAACCCCTTCCTCAGCCAGCCCCCACGCATCCGTTCCCCGCCTCCTCCCTCTCCCCCGTCCCCCCTCCCGCTGCCCACGCGCGTGCAGTTCTGTGCGGGAGCAGTGAACTTGGAGCTGCTCCTGCCGCTGCACACACTCATGGCTCCGGCGCTGTTCCTGCCTGCCACAACTCGGGCTGCTGTCCCTCGCTATGCGGGCGTGGTGAACGAGGAGCTGCACCTGGCGCTGCACACACACGTGGCGCCGCCACTGTTCTACCTGTCACACCGGGGGCTGCCATGCCATCCAACTCTGTGATGGCGGTCCTGTTCCTGTGCGCCCTGCTCAGGCGCAACTGCGAGCTCTGCTCCACCGTCTCGACTCTCGCACGACCTCATGTGGGCGTGCATCAGGCTTGTCCTGAACGGAGCGCTATCACAGCCAGGCTTACGGTAAGCACGCCACCTGCCAGCAGCTTCTCTTGGTGAAGGAGGCGGAGGATGGGGCTGGGGGGTAGGGGTAAGCAAGGTAGGCGTGAGCGTGAAAAGCTTTTGACGAGCCCAGCCCAGCGCACAGGAAGAGTTCTTGAGTGCAGCAGCCCACTCACTCACTGGTGTGATACCATCCCATGACACTCATCGCCGCATGCTGTGGGAGGCGCACCCCGATGAATGCGGTGACAGTGAGTGGGCTGGTGGGGCTGGGGGATATCATGGCGGCGCTGCTTTGGCTCGCGGATGATACTGCTGTGAGCGCTGATGCAGATGCAGACGGGCTGTGTGACACAGGGTATGCTTGAGGAGGACCTGGTGGAGGAGGAGGAGGAGGAGGAGGGGGAGGAGGGGGAGGAGGAGGTCGGGAGGAGGTGTCTGAGTGACTGAGTTGCAGGGTCCGCGTGCTCGTCCATCCCGACCGTAAGCCCTTGGTAGCCAACATCACCCACTTTCTAGGTGCTGCTGCTGGCGCCGTGCCGCTGCCACAGCCACTGCCGCCGCCTCTTCTGGTGTTGCGGCTCGGAAGAGAGGCAGGAGGAGCAAGTGGCAGGAGCAGGTGGGAGTGAGTCTGCGGCTGGATGAGAAGGCACGTGCGATGAGCAAGTGGGAGATGTTTGAGGCGTCGCTGTCAGTGCACTACTCAAAGCCGTCCCTAGATGCACTGGGCCGCATATCGTGCAAGTTCTTCGAGTGGTACGCATGCCTCGGTGTGGCAGAGTGTGCTGTGCGCCTCGTGAGTCACGGCACCCAGTGGGTGCAGGCGGAAGCAGTGAAGCTCGCGATTGCGCTCACAGTTGAGGGCTAAGTTGCAATAAACGCTCAGGCCTGTTTGCGTATAGCGGATATCCGCTTGCGTATACACGCAACACGCTATACACAAGCGAATCCGCTATACGCTCGGCAAATTTGTTTTGGGGCAGCCCGGGCGGAAAAAAATTCAAACATACGGAAAGATGCGGAATTTCACGACGTGCGTTTTGCCGAAGGCGAATTGCACGTACGTGACTTGTCCAATCGTGGACGTGGCTTTTTGCAGAAGGCGAATTGCCAGGAACGTGACTGCCGGAACCGCCTCGGATCTAAGAAGTGCCAGGACCTGGTTTTTGTTGCGCACAACTGGAATGTTGTGCGCAACTGGCACTCGCGCGCAGATGTGATGCCGAACGTTGTGCCAGGGATTGGGGACGAGCCTCCTATCCCCGAGGGGTACAACGGGTTGGATGAGACGGAGGTGGAGGAGGAGGAAGGCGAGGATGACGTCCTGGAGGACGAGTACGCTTAGAACTAGGGTGGCAGGAGAGTATTAGTGACATGTGTGTGTGTATGGTGTCGTAATCTTATTATGGGAAAAAAAAACTGTGCTGCAAAACCCCCAAAATGCCCCACCCCTCCTCCCCCCCAAACATCCCCAAGTGGTTTTTTTTGCCCTGCCCGGGAAAGTTTTTTCCCTGCCCGGAAAAGCGTATTCCAAAGTCGACCCCCAAGCGGATAGCGTGTATACGCTAGCGTATATACGATAAGCGTATATACGCTATAAGCGTATATTGCAACTTAGGTTGAGGGCCAAGGTGCAGGATCTGAGCCCATGAAAGCCGTGCTCGTGGAGGGCGGGCAGCTGTTTGTTACTGTGCAGAAGGTGCGTGCTGGTGCGTCTGCCACCATCACGTTCTGCGCTGGCGGCGGGGGGGAGGGGGGCCAGAGGGTGGGAGGGAGGTGTTAACTCCGTCCATGCACTCACACATTCTCCATGCAGCGGCTATGATGAGACGCACTGCAGCAGCCAGCGAGGCAGGGCGCGGGGAGGGGTCCAACGAAGGGGAGCAGCAGCCGCAGGTAGTGAAAACAGGTGCAGCCAGAGGAGCAGAATCAAGCAGTGGGAGGAAGCAAGAGGAGGAGCAGGAGCAGGTCCTCGGTCTGGGGGGTTAGAGGAGACGGGGGGACTGGCTGAATTTTGTTTGGTGGGTGTGGTTGCCTGTCTATCTCCTTTTCAACCCCACTGCATCCCCTCCTGTCCGAGGACAAGAACGGCGACGGCTCACCTCTCCCACTACCCCTCTCCTCCTTCCAACCACCTTCCCTCTCCCTTCTTCCCCTAGCCCCCTTCCTTCCCAATTCCCTTCCCTTCTCCTTCCACAACCCAACAGCCCACTTTGCGACATCGACTCGTCTCTCAATCACGTTCCGCTGAATCACATCACTCCTTCAAGAAACGTGCAGCCGAAGCAGTCATGACACCGCTATGGTGGGTGGAGGGGAGAGAGGCTCACATTGCAGAAAGAGCCGCTGCCCTCCTGGGCACATATGATTGCATGGCAGGTGTTGCATAAACCCCTTGAACCACCGTTCTTTCCCCCTCCAACCCTCCTCCGTCCTCCGTCCTCCTTCCAGTCCTCTCTCATGTTTCTTATGTAGCCATCTCACCCTCAGAAGCACCTCTCCTCTCTCCCACATGACTTACACCACTAGCCATTGCACCTTAGCTCGTATCACCTATGTCCTTGTCTATTTCCGGCTCGCCACCTCTCTAGCCATCCCCTCCGCCCTCCTTTCTCTTCCCCTTCACCCGCTTTCGCTCTCCCATCTTGATTTTTTTATGGTGGCAGCAGAGAGGTGCCGAACGCAGGTCAATTGCATGACACATTCGCACTCCCCAACACCACCACCAGCTGAAGCAGTAGCATCCCCCGCTGGTCCTCCTCCCTTTGCATTCCATGCCCTCCTCCTCCCACTGCCAATTCTCCTCCTGACCACCCTTCTCTGCAAATGGTCCAGAATCCTCTCCCAGCCCTTTCCTTGCATTTCCCCTCCACGGGCTCCTCATGACAGCATGCCGCACCAGTAGGCCTGGCGTGGAGGGGCGCTGCTGCAGCACGTCACACAGGGGTGGGTGAGTGTTGTGTGAGTAAATGGAGTAGGGGAAGGATGGGCGGGAGGAGATAAGTGTGCTGGAAAGGGGGTGGGGGTGGAAGAAGGCTGCCTAGCCCTTTTTCCCCGTGCGTCTCTTGGTGCCATTTTCCTCGCTTCCTCTCCATCAAATTTATGGCAGCAGGTGCACCAGTAGGCCCGGCGTGGAGGGGCGCTGCCGCAGCAAGTCACACAGGTGGGTGAATGCAGTGTGCGTGAATGGAGCAGGGGAGGGGGGGTGCGAGGAGAATTGTGCGTGGTGGTGGGTTAGGAGGAAGGGGTTGTCGAGGGGTTGGGAGAGAGGGCAAAGGGGGGACTGGCAGTGCAAGGAAGTGAAAGGCATGTGGGAATGGGGAGCATGTTAACAGTCCCCTCGCCATGATGGCATGCTGTGGAGAGAGGTGATGCTGGTGGCATGGGCAGAATCAGCACTGCAAAGCCAAAGAAATATGGAGGGTAAAACAAAATTAGATGAGAAGCCATATTTGGTGGGCAAAGGTGGGATTGTTTTACCCTCAAAATAAGATGAGAAGCCATGTTTTGTGATCTGTGCCCTGCACACCTCATCTCACACGTCATCCCATACCTCATCCCACACCTCATCGCAGACCTCATATCATGCTACACGTCCCACTGCACTGTCATTTCTGAATCATTTCGTTTTGCTTGATGCCCTGCGCTCTCATACCTGCCCTTGACCCATCCCTGCCCTTCACCCACGCCTTCCCTTCACTCATTTCCAGCATAATTCGCTCTAGCCCAGAGGGTACACAATTCGGATGCCACGCAAAAACAGCAGCTGAGTCAGCAGAGTGACCAGGAGGAAGGGGGTCGCACTAAGTGGTAGAGTGGTGGGGAGCAGTGAGGGGATGCAGGTGGAATAGCCTTTGTCTAATGTTGCTGTCCGGATTTCATGACTACAGTGTGGTGCTGAGCGTTGGTGACACACAACAATCTCAAAGGAAAGGAGACGAGGGCGACCTGCTAAGAGGAGCACCGGTGCAGTGCATGCTGAGACACATGCAAGTCTTCACTGCCTGCACGCCTCCAGCATGTGAATCCCGTTCATCTCTTCCAGGGCATCACGGTAGTAGGGCCAGCAGTTGAACTGCATATTGAGAAGCAGAAATACTTGAAATCAAATCTACGGTACCATATGTTAATCCTGTATGCCAGTGATTGTGCTACCCTTATGGAGTTGGGTGGCTGATGCAGCAGCATATGCGACCTCACCGCTTTCTCATGCAGGAAAGGACACTTGGGTGCTGCTCCTCTGCCCTCCGTCCCATACATGAAGCCCTGCCAAGCTGCCACTCTGCCCAACCAACCATATGCCCTCTATGAAGCCGCCGCACACTTGTGCATGTCCCTTTCATGGTCCAGTGTGGCTCTTCGATACGAATTAAACATGCCATACCTAAATACCACCACCAGTCTATTGTTTTCACATCATTGGAACATTCAGGGTGCACAACAACAAAGAAGGATAAAGGTCTTGCAGGGAGCATCACTCAGAAGAATGCAATTGTCGAAATTTGGGTGCATGCGCAATCTTACTGGTAAAAGAAGTGTCAGCCTGAAATTAAGGCACAAAAACGTTTAGGTTGTCTAATTTTGTTGATTTGCCAGAATCAAAACATTAGTCTCTCCTCAACCCACACTCATTCTCTCCTTGTATAACTTTTCCCTCCACCATCACTCCCTACAACCCTACCCGCCTATCTGCCTGCGCACATCCTCATGAGAATCCCCATGTGGGAGCCGGAGAGACGTCAGCTCCCCTCATGAAACCGGTCTCTTGCCCAACCAGCCTTGCACCTGCTTCTGCCCTGCCCAACCAACTGCAAGGTAAAAGGTCTACACGACCATTCTTCAACCCCATGCAACATGCAAGATCAGCTGAGCACAACCACCATGCCTTGCCCCATTCCTCCACATGCATAGCCTTTCACACTCCTTGATAGCCACCGGCCCACCGTCAACTCTCTCCATCCTTCGCGCCCCTGATCTCAACTCTCTCCCACCGCTGCTGCTGCCACCACTGTTGCTGCTGCCACCACTGTTGCTGCAAGCCACCACTGTTGCTGCTGCCACCACTGTTGCTGCTGCCACCACTGTTGCTGCTGCCACCACTGTTGCTGCTGCCACCACTGTTGCTGCTGCCACCACTGTTGCTGCTGCCACCACTGTTGCTGCTGCCACCACTGTTGCTGCTGCCACCACTGTTGCTGCTGCCACCACTGTTGCTGCTGCCACCACTGTTGCTGCTGCCACCACTGTTGCTGCTGCCACCACTGTTGCTGCTGCCACCACTGTTGCTGCTGCCACCACTGTTGCTGCTGCCACCACTGTTGCTGCTGCCACCACTGTTGCTGCTGCCACCACTGTTGCTGCTGCCACCACTGTTGCTGCTGCCACCACTGTTGCTGCTGCCACCACTGTTGCTGCTGCCACCACTGTTGCTGCTGCCACCACTGTTGCTGCTGCCACCACTGTTGCTGCTGCCACCACTGTTGCTGCTGCCACCACTGTTGCTGCTGCCACCACTGTTGCTGCTGCCACCACTGTTGCTGCTGCCACCACTGTTGCTGCTGCCACCACTGTTGCTGCTGCCACCACTGTTGCTGCTGCCACCACTGTTGCTGCTGCCACCACTGTTGCTGCTGCCACCACTGTTGCTGCTGCCACCACTGTTGCTGCTGCCACCACTGTTGCTGCTGCCACTGCTTCCGCTACTGCTGCTGCGTCCACCATGCTCACGTCCCTCGCTGCTCTCTTGCTCGCCCTTGTCCCCAGGTTTCCCCCCTCCCCTCCCCTTCCCCTCCTGCTCCGCCCCGCCTCCCCCATCCCCTTCCCCTTCCCCATCCACCCTGCTGATGACCGCTTCCCCCTCCATCATAAGAAATGCCAGGCAGGAATTTCTGATGCAGCTCCCAACATGCACTAGTTCTCTTGCCCAAAAAGCCCTGCACCTGCCTCTGTCGAACTGCAAGGCACCAGTTCCACATGAACATGCTACAGATCTCTGAAGCATGCAAGTTGAGCCTTGCACCACCACCATTCCATGCCTCCCCTAATTCTTCACCCCCTTGCCTCCACGCCTCTCCTCAATCTCCTTCCAAGCAGTCAAAAATGATTCTGCCTTCAAGTGTCTCCCTCCCCTCCATCACACTCGGCCCCCTTACCTACCTATCCACCCGCGCAAATCGCCTTTGTTCATAACACCCATTTGGCAGCTGGAGGGTTGTCAGCTTGGTCAGGGCACTCAGCTGCTGCAGTCCATCATCCGTGACAGTCGTGCCACAAATGAAGCCTCCTCAGCGATGCCAACCTCCCCACATCCACCAATCCAGCGCTTGTTACACCCTTGCATTTGGAAAGGTCCAGCATTTTGAGGGAGGCAAGACCTGTCAATTGCAGAAGGCCAGCATCTGTGATTGCCGTCTCAACCATCTCAAGTGCCTCAAGCGCTGACAGCCTCCCCACGTGCACCATGCCAGCATCCGTCACACCCTTGCACCAAGAAAGCCGCAGCATCGTGAGAGAGGTCAAGGCTGTCAAGTGCAGCAGACCAGCATCAGTCACCTTGGTGTGATCGAGAGTGAGCGCCTTGAGACTGGTCAAGGACCCAATGCCTTCCAAGGCACTGTCTGAGACGTCTGTGCCATCCAGGTCAAGACTCTCCAACCGTGGCAGCCTGTAGAGGTGCTTCATGCCCTCTGCACTGAGGCCTGAGCAAGAGGTCAAGTTCAAGAATATCAAGTGGGTCATGGTGGACACATGGGCGAGGATGTCGTCGGAGAGGCCAGTGCAACTCAGATCTAGAAGGGGCCATTGTGATGCTGCCTTGATTTGCTGGAGGTCATGAACAAGGAAGGAATGACAAGCAAAGGACAACCGCATTAAAAATCCATGCATGTCCTGTCCAACCATGCATCCCTTGTCCAACCATGCATGCCTTGTCCAACCATGCATGCCTTGTCCAACCATGCATGCCTTGTCCAACCATGCATGCCCTGTCCAACCATGCATGCACTGTGCTACAGTTCACTCAACACTCACCTCCCATGCCATCTTTCGATGGCCTTCACTCTCCCTGATTTGCAGCTCAACATCCAGCTTCAAATCTTGTAACATCTGCCCTTCCTCACAGGCCGCCGATTCCTCCATGGAAAGTGGCTCATTCAACTCCTGCACCTCCCTCCTCCTTTCCTCCTCCCATGCAGACTCTGCTGTGGTTCCTTGCCTTCGCTTCCTACTCTTCCCTCTCAGCCCTTCTGCATCCGATGGCTTACTACCCTCACCGAACTTCTCTGCCCTACCACCCTTTTGCTCCGCCAACTCCTCTTTAACCAGCGCCAACTCGCATCTAACTGCTTCCAATTTCTCCTTAATCACTACCAGCTCCCCCTGCACTGCTGCCAACGTGCGCTGCAGGTCAAGCACCTCCTCTACCATTGCTGCCAGCGCCGCCTCTTTCATCAATCCTGAGGTACTTGTCACTCCCTCAGCAGCCATCTCACGCACTCACTCCCCTCAGACGACCCTCCTTCTATGAGCGGTTGTTCCCTCCGTTCAACTGACTGTTTAAATGCAGATTGGCGAAAGCAGACACGTGCAGCCCTGGTAGGGCAGGGTTGCGCGTCGTGAGAGAAAAGAGAAACGTGAAAAGAAAAGAGGGAGAAGGGGCGTGGTCGGTGCACACACGACTGAGACCAATTACATGGGCATGAGGGATGAGGCATTGATGGGGGAAAGAGAGCACATAAGGAACCAAGAAAGAGGGAGACTTGATGACAAAGATGGAAACATGACTGTTGAAGAGGGACACTGCAGATATTGCAGTCGGTGAAGGGTCATGAGTTGGGAATTGCATGTTTGTCAATGTAGGGTGGCGAGGCACGCATGCATGCAGGCCAAACATAGTAGGAGGAGAAAGCAGAGACAGACGGAGATTTGCTGAAACAGTGAAAAAGAAGCACAACAACAAACAAAATGCGAGAGTAACCAGAGAAGAGAAGACGGACAAGCGAGACAAATGACCAGGTTGGAGGGGTACACATAGGGGGCTGGTACGCAGGTGGTGTAGAATAGTCAAATGAAGTGAGCTGAATGAGAAGAGAAGCCAGAAGGTCCCATATACAATGGCGGTAAGGGATAGTGGTTTCGGAAAAGGCAAATGTAGGGCGAAAGAAAGAGAGAGGGTAAAAAAAGACAAGCAGAGAAGCCTTTTCTGGTTTGAAGTATCTCAAAATCTAATTGTATCCACAGTGTGAACAGCAAATAGGTGAGGGTCGAAACACACCTTGACACTTGCGCCACAATGTGACACCAATGCAAGCAGGTGGCGGTCGCAAAATGTAGCGGGCAGGAATAAGGTGCGGAAGCCAGGAGAAGGATCAGAGGGTGATAAGAAGGTGGATGAGGAGACGGAGCAGGAATGGCAACGAGGTGAAGAGCTGAGCCCAGCATAGAATATGGAATGCGGCCCTGCCATCTCTACTCCTTACCACAGTCCGGCATGTGATGGAAGCTGGAGCGAGCGCACAAGTGTAGGCGAAGGGATAACTGAGCTGGTAGTGAATGGCTGGCAATTTGCCTGAATACCAGAAGTCGACTCACAACTCGTCTCGAGTGCGTGTGGCGTTCGTCACATGAACGAGGTCAGGCCAACCCCTTCTCAGCGAGCTGGCTGCTGGATGGCTTGAGACGACGGGGCTGGTCAGAAATCAGTGAATCATTCGTCAAGAGATCTCGAGCTTTGATTACCTGATTTCTTTGCTCAGCTAGGTCAGGCAAACCCTAGATCAGTGAGGGCCTATGTCAGTGACAGCATGGTGAATGTGCTACAGAGAAATACAGCAGCACGGGAAGGGCCAAGCCGCGTCGAGGGGCAACAATGTGTTTTAGTGTTGTGCAGGATCCGTAAGGCCATGCCAACAAAGTTACACATCCGACTCTGATTCATACATGTACCAGCACCATGGTTCGTACCTAGGAGCCTCGCAATGCGGAAGGCCGAGACTGGGGAAACTAGACATGCGGATGCATAGACTGAAGAGTCAGAATGTTTACCTGTTAGTAAGATATCTTGAACTCTTGTATTTCCGCGGCCCTTGGAGATATTCAGCAGCGTTGGCGCAGAGTCAGTCGATCTGGAGTGTGTGATGTGTGATGGCTGACGCTTGGCGATTCTGAAAGTGGTGCGAGGGAAGGGAGGCAGGGAGACAAGGGGGAGTGGGCAGGCACTCAACGAGTTACACTCGCTACAGCTTGTTATTTGAACAAGGCAAGCTATAACGCCAGTCAGGCGGTTGATGAGAAGCATCCGAGTGAAGGTGCGGCGAAGGTTAATTGGGCAACTTGTGTAGTAGGAGAGATAACGACGAGGATAGGTGATGAAACGAGAAGTGGACAGACAAAATGGGAAAGGAGCAGGCATGAATTGGCGAACATTGGCCAGAGGCAAGCATTGGGAGGGCAAAAGAGCACAGCAGGGTGATAGATTAGGGTGAAGGAGATGCATTCTCAGCGTGGTTAGAGGTGGATGAAGATATGCACGTCCCACGGAGCAGATTGGAGGCAACAAGAAAAAGGATTTCGGCCGCCGATTCTTCCTTTATCCGCAACAATTATGGCCGCCAAAATTACTGATCTGCGCGGTTCGGCAGTCGAAATCCCGCGCAGATCGGAGGTCAAATCGGTATTTCGCGCAATTTGTCGAAAAAAAAAAAATCGCTGATCGGCGCGGATTGACGGTCGCAATGCGACGATCTGCGCAGATTGACGGCCAACATTGCCAATCGGTGGGTTACAGTGTCGATCCGCACGGATGTAACGGCGGGGACTAAAATGAGGACATTTCTTGGCAATGCAGGCTGATTGCATACCCGAATGGCGTTAGTATGCCCGAATAAGAGCAAGGAGGCGCGGAGAATTCATGCATGACTACTAAACTCATGTTTACTGCATTCTCGTTTTTGCGCTACGAATAAGAGTCGTGGAATGGAGACGGTAGGGAGGAATAGGCACGCGGATGAAAGGAACAGAGGGTAGGAGGACCTAAGGGAACCAGGAAAGGAGGAGAATAATGATTGCGGGTAGAGATGGTGCGAGAGGCGAAATGAATGGAATGACGGGACCGGCCTTACCTCAAGCCTGTTTTTAGGGTTTCGAAGATAAAAGCGACGTCTGAGAGACTCGCGCACACACTTGGATCTGAGCTCCGCAATAGGCGCCGGCACGCAACGATCTGATATGCGCAGTTATTATCTCACTCGAGAAAATGGCTTGACTCTTGAAAGGTAAAGAAGCGCCGGCAGAGGCCGAACGAGCAAGTTATCGCGAAGATCGCGGAGGAATACTAGCCCGATGAGTAGTGGTACCCACTACGCGGGTCTGACTTGGTTCACTTTCCGTTCAGTGTTTGCGGTGGAAAACGTTGCTGTGCATTCTAGAGCGGTTTTCTTACTCAACCACTTTAAACCGCTATTCACCAGTTTGAACGGTGATACACGAACTTAGTGCTTTTGTGAGGGGATGGTGGTGATGTGCACACAATTCACGGTATCGCTCGTTGGGGTCATTCTGGGTACGGACTTACCCGTTCAACGTCTATTGAGCGAAATTGCTGGGCGTACATCAGGGCAGTAACCATCTGCTCTGCAAATTTCGTTTGTATAGCAAAAATTGATGTTTTTGAAGCGCGAATGTAAATGATGATGGTTATGCGGATGTTTCCAAGCCCGATTTCACCAACTCCCGCTACATCCGAAGATGAGAAATTTTGCGCGCGTGGGGGGGAAGGATCCGACGGTAAATGACGAACATGCGCGTTCATTTTCCTGGTCCAGAAACGGGGTAGCTCATTTCGCGCTAACAAGCAAGACGGGGTACAAACAAAAACCAGGGTTACTCCATATCGGAAATCATAAGTCACCATCAGACAGAGTACCTCAGGGCTTGTTCGTAGTTTTGACACCAGTGTCATTTTGGAAACTTGACACAAGCATACATTGTTGGTTGGTGTAAAAAAATCGCTCAATGTCAGCCTGTCAAATTAATCGGATAACCCGCTCGCCTAGAGTCGCGACGCACACCATCCAACCAAGACCATCGCATTGATACCTCTCACGATTTGCTCTCACTCAATAAAAAATCTGCAAAACCTGCCTCTGCGATGGTCCACAAATTCCCACCCAACACGTTGGTGTTGGGTTGCACTGACAGTTTGGCTCGTTCATGTAAACGCACAATAACAGATATTTCGTGTCCCACCAATGAGACTTCGTCGCACATTTCTTTCGGCGCGACTCGGGTTGACCCCGCTGCTACAGTGATTGACACCAAGAAGTGGGCCGACTCGGGTTGACACGCATAAGCAGTTGGTGTCAAAACTACGAACAAGATCTCAAATTTGAGTTTGCCAGATCGCAAACTCAACTGATTTTTTTTTCCGGTCAGCCCGAGCGAGTTTTGGCGAATTTTAGAAAATACGCAGCCTACGAATTCTAGATGCGTATAAACTCAATACGCAACTTCAAACTAGCGTTTTTTCCAACTTTGGTGTGCATGGTGGTGTGCATGGTGTGTGCATGGTGTTTGTGAATGTATGACACCTGTGCATGGTCGTGGAAGGTGCCGTGTTTTTCATCAAGTGGCACCCTCCAGTCTCTCTTCTCCTCATCTTCCCCTCCCCTTTCCCTCCCCTCCCCTCCCTTTTCCCTCTCTTCCCCTCCCCTCCCCCTCCCTTTTCCTATCCTTTTCCCACTCATGCCTGCAAATCACTCAGTTCTTCTGCCACCCAAATGCCTTTCCACTTTGTTTTTCCTTCATCCATCCTAACCTCCTCTCCTGTCTGAACATCCCTAACCTCCGTGCAAGTTACCTTTCACACCCCCCTTTCTCCCACTAAATCTCCCTTACCCTCCTCCCCTCTCCCTAACCTTGACCATTCTTCTAGTCGAAGCGGGTGCGTGCACACAAGCTCCTCCAGAGCACATGCACATGACATGCGCCCTCCTGGGTGGCATATAATGTCATGGCAGGTGTTGCACAACCACAACCAGCCCGGTATCTCTGTATTGGGATATCAATGCAAGCACACCTCATCGCATGCCTTATTTCTAGAAGGTAACCCTTCGTGTAACACTTCCCAACTAATCACTCATTCCTGCCGTTTCACTCATTTCTGCCGTTTCACTCATTCCTGCCCTTCACCCATTCCCAACCTTTTCTCTCTTGCCTTTCACACGTCTTTTTGCAGTTGTGGTGGTGAAGCTTTGGTGAGACACAAAAATATACGAGTGATGGTTCGTATTGCAGTGATGCATTGCATACATCGTTGCTGGCTACTACCTTTTGAGGGAGATGACTTGAGAAACATAATAGGGGAAATAATGTGTTTTGAGGAGGATAGTTGCTATCAATACGGAACGCAAGTGCACAGCATCGTACTATCTCATCTGCCCCTCTCCTGTGCACGCAGAAGCACCACGCTTCCCTGCTTCGGCTCTGCTCCTGACCCCAGTCAACAGGATGCTCTCCCTGGTTCCCAGAAAGTTGCTGCTACTCAAGCACACATCTTTGCTTTATTCTTTGAAGATGTTGATACAAGGATTTCTTGAAGACAGGGAAGTGCTGCAGAAGCTTTATGAAATGAAAATGAACTGTTTGAACCAAAAAGTAATGTTGCACAAGAATCTCATACACACTATGCCCCCACTATCTAAATACAGCCTACACCCAAGGTGAGGCTAGCATGGCTCACACAGGCCCACTTCCTCCTGCTTCACCCTCCGTCTTATGCCACCCATCCACCTGAATGTCATGTCAACTAGCCAGCCGCTTGCATGTGTATACAAAACTTCAAATCTTACAGCTTACACTCAAACATGGCTCGTTCATTCACCCTCTCTTCATCCATCACCAGGTGTCCCGCCCAAACAGCCATGCACCTGCTTCTGTCCAACTACAAAGCATATGTTCACCATTCCATGCCTCTCCTCTGCATGCATGCCTCCCTCATTCTTCAGACCCCTTGCCTCAAATCGTCTTCTTCCATCCTCACTCCTTGCCACCCTACCTGCCTATCCGCTTGCATATGTCATCATTTTCAAGGCAGCCCCCTTCTGGCGGCCAAAATTTTGTAAGCTTGGTCAGGGCAGTCAGCTGCTGCAGCCCATCATCCGTGACTGCCGTGTTATGCACACCAAACCTCTCAAGCCCTGTCAGCCTCCCCACATGCACCATGCCAGCATTTGTCACCCCGGTGCATCCACCAAGCCCCAGCTCTATGAGTGAAGACAGAGCTGTTAAGTGCAGGAGACCAGCATCTGTCACATTGGTGTTGATGAGATAGAGAATTTTGAGACTGGTCAAGGACCCGATGCCTTCCAAGGCACAGTCGGATACGATTGTGCCATCCAGGTCTAACTTCTCCAACCCTGTCAGCCTGTAAAGGTGTTTGATGGCCTCTGCACTGAAGCCTGAGGCAGAAGTACAGTTGATGCTCTTCAGATGGATCATGGTGGACACGTGAGCGAGGATGTCGTCTGAAAGGCCGTTGAGATTCTCCAGGCTCAGTTCAGTTGCTCGAGTTGCAGACTTAATTCGCTGGAGGGATGATGAGGGAATGACAGAAAAATGGATGTCCACCGTGACAATCGCAAACACGCATGCACTGCCAAACCAAGCATGCACTGCCGAACCAAGCATGCCCTGCCAAACCAAGCATGCCCTGCCAAACCAAGTATGCCCCGTCCAACCATGCATGCCCTGTGAACAAGTTTACTCAGCACTCACCTCCCATGCTGTCTTCAAATCGCCTTCACTCTGGCTGATTTTCAGGTCCACATACATATTCTTGAGAGCATTCTTCTGCTCTGCCAGCTCCCCCTTCACTGCAGCCAGCTCTCTCTCCCTCTCCCCCATCTGCCCTTTCATATCCGTCAAGTCTGCTGCTCTCCTCCTCTCAACCTCCTCCACCTCCCTCCTCCTCTCCTCCCTCTCCCTTACCAACTCCGCTCTCATTTGATCTTCTGCCTTTCTCAACTCCGTTTCTTTACTTCTCTCAGCCATGTCCAGTTTCTCTGTCATAGCATCCTTGTGGTCAACCATCGCCCCCTTCACTCCCATCAGCTCTGACTTCACTGCGGCCACTTCTACTGCCAGCGCCCTCTCCCTCTCTTCCACCTGCCCTCTTATCTCATTCATCTCTGCCACTCGCCTCCTCTTAGACTCTGCCAACTCCTCCTTCACGGCTGCCACCTCTCGCTCCCTCTCCTCCACCTGCCTTCTCAACTCCCTCCTTGTCTCTTCCAGCTGCACACCAATCACCCTCATTCTCATCTCTATCACCTCTTTCCACTCGTGTCTTCCTCCCATGACCGCCATGACAGACCCAACTGCCTTTCCTAGACTATCCATTCCAGACCTGGCATGATTACTACACATGGCAGCACATGAGCGGGCATGGCGTGCAATACAGGAACGCAAATGAGAAGATGGAAAGGTTAGAGGAAGCAATTGCGATGAAGAATTGGAGGGATATGAGCAGGGAAACATCAGCTTTAGGCATCAGCGAGAGTAGCGGCTGCTTGTATTGCCAAATGAAGGGAAAACGTGCGAGTACAGAAGCACATGTCACGAGAACAAGAAAGTGAGGGGCATTGAACGATGGCAATGAAGGCATGCTCACATGGGGCTGTGCAGCAAAGGTAAGATTCCACGTGGCTGCAACATGGTGAGAAGAGGAAGGGAAAGCGCGATGAGTAGTGAATGGAGAGGAGGAGAAACGGGATGGAATACAGCAGCATCGGAAAACACAAGTGAGCAGAGAAATGATTGGCAAGGAGACAAAGCTAAAGGGATGACTGGAGAAGGGCGTGCAGCAGCATGTGGAACATGAATGAGCGCACAAAGGAGAAAAGGGGAGAGAACCTTGACAAGGAGGGAAATGAGAGTTTGGCAGAGCAGAGAGGGAAGCTGCAGTGGTGGAGGGCAGAGCAGAGCGCACGGCATACCACGAGGCACTTGCTTGCACTCTTCAGCTTCATCAGCCCAGCCGTCACAGCCAAGCCCTGCTGATACACCCATGCTCTGACTTGCGTGGGTCACGCCCATCCCCCACATCAACGAACCCAGAGTAGAGATTGCAACATACAGCACGAAGAAAGGAGGCTGCAGACGCGGGAGGAATGAGCAACAATTGTGGGGGGAGAGGGGCAACAGACGTGGGTGGAGAGGGGCATGAGCAATAGACGTGGGCGGAGAGGGGCATGGGCAATGAAACACGAACAAGAAACTCGAAGAGATGGGTCACAACTTAACAGAATTACTGGACCCTGGAATAACGGTTGCTAGCAAGGAGGCAATTGCAAAGGCGTGCTAACCAATACACGCACGCACCAGTGTGTGGAGGGAGTGAAGAGGCGCATTGAGAGCGTCGGCATGCTGGAAGGAGGTGGCAATCGCGTGGCCATGAGTGGGAGGTCCGTTCGTGGTATTGTGACTCGTTTCTGTGGCATTAGCCTGAGAGGGAAACACCACATGCATGCATGCAACGGCAGAACAGGGGCACAGCCATGCACGCCCATGCAGAACAAAACGGCACGCACAAACACACGCACGCACGCCACATGCATTAGACACGCCCACAAGAGCGTACAGCGTTAACAAAGACAAAAAAAAAGAAGAAAACACACACACACACACACACGCCACGGGGAAGCCGCAGTAAAAAAAAATAGAGGAAAAAAAAACAAAAAAAAAAACAAACAAACGAACGAACAAACAAACACACAACCAGCAAACAGCGACAATATGCAGTGGTTATGCTTGCACTTACATCAGTGGGGGAAGTAGATGGGAGCATGAGAGGGTGGTTGACTTGCTCGCTGTCACGGGGAAGCTGCAGGAGGCAACAAGAACGGAGAAAACAGGTGCATGCTAAGACAGGCAAGGCAACCATGAAATGGCAAGACACACACAATGTGAAAATCGTGCAATGTTGGAGTGGACCTGGAAGATCAATGTGATGATGGCGGCAGTGATCACTCACATCAGCTGTAACATCAGCTATAACTGGGGCACGATATGAAGCATCCCTTTTGAGAGGCGTGATGCTGATGACACTAATAGCAGAAATGGCAGTGCCGAGAAGAAACGTCACGAGCAGCCCTGGCAGCAGCATGGCCACTGCAGTCACCCGAGCCATGGCTGATGGGGCGAGCCCAATGCAAGGCGTGCGCCTGCAGCAAGGGGAATAGTGGCAGGAGCAGTGGAGGGAGGGAGGAGGAAGTGGGGAGCAGCAGCGTGAGTGGCAGGGCAACTGTTCTGCGTCAAGAGAAGGAAGACGACGTAGGTCCTGCAATGGCAGGCAGCTCTCCACTGTAAGATGGGCTGCACTGTGAGTGGAACGTGGCAGCGCAAGTGAGGGGAGGGAAGTAGCGCCAGGACAGGGAAAATCATATCTGAAACAGCAGCATCTTCAGTGAGACGTAGGGGTGGGAGGTGGGCAGTGGCAGAACGAAGGATGGGACAACAGGCAAGCAGCAGCATTGGAAGGGCGGGAGGAGCGGTAGTAGCAGGAAAATATGACAGTGCTCTGTAGCGAGTGCAAGGAAGGTGAACGAATGGACATTAGACTTGTGGGGGATCACATGACAGAACGGGATGATAGCCAGAATAGACTGAGCACAGGGATGAGGTACGGCTTGGGAGATGAAACACAACGTTAGTCTATCATTGTTACAAAACGAGAGAAGAAGCGGAAAATGGTAACGAGGAGGAACGAACAGCGCAGAGCTTGTTTGCACTTCTGAATGCACGTGGATGGATAACGTTGAATTTAAGAGATCATGAGGGGAAGAAGAGCAGAACAGATGGATTAAGGGAAAGGTCGTGGGTGAAGGTAGATGGCACGCAGAAGAGGCAATACCACACTGATAGATATTGCCGCAGGACAGCAAACATATGTAGCGAGTAAGATAACGGGCGAAGCACAAACCTGGGCGATAAGAAATTGTGTGGAAGCACGCAACATGCGTGGACAGAAATTCTTACCCGAGTCACTGCTCCGGTTTTCAGAGTTGTGTTGTCAAGATTCACTATGGGCCCGCTTGTCCGTCCCGGGAGACGAACGAGAAGGCCAGCACGAGACGCGTTTAGGAATGGGAGGTGAGATGAATGGATAGAGCAGATAGATGAAGCAACCCAGATCCTGGCTGGGATCACAGCGAGAACTCGCTTAGGGTTTCAAACAGCTCTGAGAAGCGAGGCGCCGAGGTGCAGTGACATGATAGGGTGGCAGCACACGGCGGCGGCGTGAGGCGTTCATGAAGTGTTTTGGCGGCGCCACGGTCGAAACCTCCTCGACCGGCGCACCGCACACACTGCGGTACACCTGTTCCGCCTTATTTTCAATGCCGTTATCTTCAAACCCTAGGAGAACTACCCTAGGTCAGGCTAGGTCATGGGGGTAGTTCAAGTAGACTGAATATCAGCGGGTGGATAGACGCGCATACCCCACGCGAGTTAACTGCAAGCAGCAACTTCGTCATTGCCAAACCGCCCGTTCAATCGCAACCCTAAGTGCGAGTTTCGTCACACTGGATTGCCTTCTGTACTTTCTGATATCCCTGTAATCTTTGGGTGTCCGTCTCACTAGACAGAAAAGTATTTAGGGTCTCTTTAAAAACACGGTCGAGGCTTTGAAAATAAGGCGGATTAGGGTGTATGCATGCGCGCGAAGGACAAAGGTGCGTGCGGCCCAGGGCCATGGAGAACACGAGGAGGCAGGATCAGGGTCATATTCCTTGCGCGACTGACGTGTCGTCGCCAGACAGCTGACAAATTTCACCCTTGACGTGATCGCCCGTTGTACTGAGTGGACCGGATAGACCGAACCGCGACGTTCCATTGTCTCAGGATTCTCGACTGTCACATCGTTTCGAACTACTCGCATGGGCGATAGGGTCGCGTTGAGTGACAACGTCTAATGGACCGGAAATTAACGAACCGCGACGTTTCCAGAGTCGTGAGTCCAGACTCTCGTTATAAGCAGAATCGTCACGTCGTCTCAGTACAGTCACATGACCTTCGAGGAGGTCCCGTCATAACCGTTGGACATTTGCCTGTGTTATGATGCAACTCGGGACGTATTCTTTCCAGATTGGGTTTGCACGTTGGTTCAGTACACGGTGTTACATTGCGAAAAACCACGAACAGAAGTGTTTAAAACTGTCCTTTCAACAAGAACTAACCGAATCGTGTTGTTTTTGTCTGAACCGTTCTTTGCATTTCGTGTGCTTATATACGCCCTCAGCACTTTTTCACGGAGCAATCTCTTCACCATCGCTTCGCTTCCTTCGGAGGGAGGTTCAAATGACTTGTCCAGCAACTAATCCATCCCAAAAATGGGGCCCCCCGAAAAGTAGGGTTTCGGGGGGTATGTTTGAAGTAACAAGTTCAGTTGGCTGGAAAAACCTGCTTTCGACGCGTCGCGTCGAAACGAAAACAGCCCAGGCAGGGTCGGAACTCTCGAAATTGCTTGGGGAGAGAGATTGGCAGCTTCGGAAACCATTCGATTGGTTGAGCAGGTGGGTGGCAGCTTCGGCAGCAAATTACAGCCGGAGGTACCCCTCAGAAAGGCCGGGAACAAGACTCCCGCCTCCCGTTGGCGTGGGTCCCGACCGAAATTGGTGTGCTGGCGTTAGATAAAATGGGATATTCGTACACTGTCTGAATACATTGGACATGTGAAAATAAATACATGTTTTACTGTAACTCTGCTCTAATAAATTCATGTTTTACATGTTTTGAATCATATGAGAAATCTGCTTCCATTATCATAATATATAATCGTATTGTCAATCAGGAAACGGTTATCTAGGTCCCGCACGAAGTTGTTGTGTTAGTCTTTATATTCTTAATTTGTTTAAATATATTGACTATAAAACCTTACACTTATAAAGGTTTACAATGGGCATTTACCTCCTCTTTTTATTGATATTGCATCTTGATTCCAAAGGTCTTCCATTATTAATAAAATTATCTAAAACTCCCGTCGCAACATAAAGATTGAATACATTCTTCTACGTAAAAGATTCATTGATTGGATGTATTCATCCAGACAAGTAGTTGAATGTTTACAGCATCAGCGCAGCTGGAAGGCGGCTTGCCCAAACAAGGGCGGGGCCATTTCTCGTCAACCTGTCGTAGAGGGAGAGAGAGGGGGGGAGGGAGAGAGAGATAGACAGAGAGAGAGAGAGAGAGAGAGAGAGAGAGAGAGAGAGAGAGAGAGAGAGAGAGAGAGAGAGAGAGAGAGAGAGAGAGAGAGAGAG